AGGTTAATTGGCTCCTGTCTAAATTGGCCCTAGTATGTGTATGTATGAATGTGAGTTAGGGAACTTAGATTGTACACCCCTTGAGGGTTAGGGACTGATGTGAATGTACAATATATATGTAATGCGCTGCGTAAATTGACAGCGCTATATAAGTACCTGAAATAAATATAGATGCTGTAAACGTAGTGACAATACAGAGGTTTCTGTAGACATAAGATGCAAAACTTACTATGAAGTAGAGAAAAGAAAGAGAGCTACTGATATCTCAGCACAATATAATAGCAAGGTTGTTTATACAGCCCAGTCCTTGGCTCCAGTGTACTCTGTTATTAGTTACAGGAAGGAGTTTCCTCGCCTGATACTGTGCTGATGACTGTTTAATGTTTCCAGTGTTACAGCAGACCGGAAAAACTCCCTCTCCCCTCATCTTTCGGAAGCTAAAGGTTTACATTTATCACAAGTTATTTATCAAGCTTCTTAGCCTTCATTTTTCTGCGTTCCTTCAAGGAAAATTACAAACTCTGAAAACAAATGAATTAAATGAACTCTTAGGTTTTAATTTTATTATAGGAAATATGGAAATAATCTAAATATTGATGACTTTAAATGCCTCCAAATCAGATTTCCTTTTTCATTTTGCCATAATACAAAACCAGCACTAGTGAGAACATTTTATTAAAGCTGGCTATTGATGGATCGAAATTTGACCAGTTCAGCAGGGACCCACTGAATTTTGATCCACCTATGGTGGTTCCTGTTGGAGAGGAGTCGGTCTAACGATTGACTCCTCTCAAATGGAACTGTTGGTGTGTTTTTGTTCGATCAGCTCTTGGAGCTGTCCCACTGTCGGACCACAATAGCACAGCAGAGAGGATTCCTTCATCAGCCTCTAATGTATGGATGGACAATCTGTTGTGGTTTTTTTTTTTCTTTTGAAAAAGATCCATCTATAGGCAATTTAAAGTGTATCAAACCCAAAAACTTTATATATTGCAGTTTGTCAATCCTTAGCTGCATTTACTTTTTTTTGGTCTTCATTTATTTTCAGCTGATGATCCGGTCGATTATTATTATTATATACAGGATTTATATAGCGCCAACAGTTTGCTCAGCGCTTTACAATATAACGGGAGACAATACAGCAACAATACAGTTCAATACAAGAGGGTTAGGAGGGCCTGATCCTTGGAGCTTACAATCTAGGAGGGAATGTAAGACACTTCCTGTCTTATGGCTTCTCCACTCTGGACAGAGGAGCAACAGAGACACCCTCTGAACAGCAGCACTGTCTACAAAAGGTAGTGTTAGGCTGGCCATAGGTGGAGCAAATCTCCCCATTCGAAGAAATTTACTTGATTCCCCCACCAACACAGTCAGTGTTGAAAGGGGAATCCCTCCTGTGGAGCCATTCTGTTCTCTGGGTGTGGGAATTTTGTCCCTGCCAGGAGAACACAGTGATTAATGCTAGCAGCTATAACAGCCCCTAGCAATTATCACATATAAGATCCAGCAGGCTGGTTGTTTCCAAGTTGACCGGTCAACTTGGGTATTTTCAGCCTGCCTATATGTGGTTCGAATCTCGGCTCGCCCACTCTAAACTGGCCGAGAGTTGAACGTCTATGGCGGACTTTTAGATGAACTAGTAGATTTAGCTGGACTTTATATTAGGGACTAGCAAATTTTAAAGTATAATAAAGGCATTTTTTGTTGTGGATGAAGTGGAGAGGGATTAGAACACCTGTCAGGTTTTTGTTTCTGTCTGTGCCCCCTTTAGGGAGATTCACCCGCTTTGTCATGTTTACCATTATCACCGAAAGTGAAAGAACATCCCTGAAAACTTTTCTCTTTAAAGAAGTCTATCTTGCTTCTACCTAGTAAACTGCCATTTATTTCCTCCATCAGCTCATCCCCCCCCCCCCCCACCACTAGCTATTACCTTTTGTATCACTCAACCCTTCCTCCTAGATTGTAAGCTCTAACGAGCAGGGTTCTAACTAATGTAGCAGCCATCCACACACGGGACATACATAATGAGAGGTAGTTTGTCCCTTTGCACTGGTGTTGGTGTAACCAAGGGTTTGGCAACCAGTAGATTTATCATACTACAATATCCAAAGAATATATAGAAGGTTAACCAGGGATATGGCAAGAATTAGGATTTGTGGTTACACAGCAGCTGGTGACCTGCAAGTAGTTACTGATCTAAAAGGGTGTGGAAAAGGTAGGTCTGATTGTTATTGTAGCTCCATATGAACATACTGTGGATAGTCTTTACAGAGACATTTTTTAGTTCAGTTGCATGTGCAGTCTACAAAATCTTTACCATTGTCCAATATATCAGCTTGTTAAAGATCAGAAATAATGCATGCACTTTAGTAGCTTTCATTGCTGCTAATGGCTTTAAGCCCGTTTTAAAAGTGATTTTACAGAAAGTGAATAATGAATGCAAAGCATTGTTTAAAATGCTAAATATCTGTGCACAGATTACAGATGGATCTCTTTTTTTATTGATGAATTGCAAAATACATTCAATAGATCTAAAGTACCCAAAAAAATAAAGGATGGCTGTCACCCAATTCTCAAAGAACCAAAGAATTGGCCTGTTTGGATTTTTTTCTGTTAATTATAGATGTTTCCTGTAGAATTATCTAGCTGCTTTCACCCTTCCATCCTCCACTGCATTAATATGTCTGCTTGGCCATTCCCAAATAGCAGTTTGAACCCACTTGAACCTTGGTTTTTCTTGCGATGTAGTCAGGTTTCAATAATAGTAAAGGATGTTGTGGTTTTTTTTTTTTTTTTTTTTTTTTTTTAATATTTGGGTGCTGCAGTTTTTATTCAAATTCTGTGTGCTGGCAGCATGCTGGAGATCTGGACTACTGCTCAGCACACCTCTCACTTCCCTGAGTGTCAGGCAGCTGGAGACCTGAACTGATGTGCTCTGTGTTGAGCAGCGGTCTGGATCTCAAGTGTGCTAGCAGCTCAGGTAAAATCTGCAGCACAAAACAAATACACCAGTTTATGCAGCCTAATTAATAAATATGAGCTTGCTGCCTATATTAGGATGGCAAAACTGTAGCATGGAGCCTAAAACATTATTATTTTGAGCTGCCGCAGATAAAATCCCCTCCACAATGTGTTTCCTAGCGGAAAAACCACTTCATCATATATGCTGTAGAAAAACTGTTGAAAAAAGGAAAAAAAAAATCACAGAACATACAGTGGGGATCGAAAGTTTGGGCACCCCAGCTAAAAATTTGTATTAATGTGCATAAAGAAGCCAAGGAAAGATGGAAAAATCTCCAAAAGGCATCAAATTACAGATTAGACATTCTTATAAATATGTCAACAAAAGTTAGATTTTATTTCCATCATTTACACTTTCAAAATAACAGAAAACAAAAAAATGGCATCTGTAAAAGTTTGGGCACCCTGCAGAGTTAATATCTTGTACTGCCCCCTTTGGCAAGTATCACAGCTTGTAAACGCTTTTTGTAGCCAGCCAAGAGTCTTTCAATTCTTGTTTGAGGTATCTTTGCCCATTCTTCCTTACAAAAGTCTTCCAGTTCTTTGAGATTTCTGGGCTGTCTGTCATGCACTGCTCTTTTAAGGTCTATCCATAGATTTTCAATGATGTTGAGGTCAGGAGATTGTGAAGGCCATGGCAAAACCTTCAGTTTACGCCTCTTGATGTAATCCCCCGTGGATTTCGAGGTGTGTTTAGGATCATTATCCATTTGTAGAAGCCATCCTCTCTTTAACTTCAGGTTTTTCATAGATGGCATCAAGTTACCATCCAAAATTTGCTGAAATTTTATTGAATCCATTTTCCTTCTACTCGTGAGATGTTCCCTGTGCCACTGGCTGCAACACAACCCCAAAGCATGATTGATCCAACCCCATGCTTAACAGTTGGACAGAGGTTCTTTTCATTAAATTCTGTGCCCTTTCTTCTCCAAACGTACCTTTGCTCATTCCAGCCAAAAAGTTCAATTTTAACCTTATCGGTCCACGGAACTTGTTTCCAAAATGCATCAGGCTTGTCTATATGTTCATTTGCAAAGTTCAAATGATGATTTTTGTAGTGAGGACGTAGAAGAGGTTTTCTTCTGATGACTCTTCCATGAAGACCATATTTGTACAAGTATCTCTTTATAGTGGAATAGTGTACCACAACTCCAGTGTCTGCCAGATCTTTCTGGAGGGATCGTGCAGTCAAACGTGGGTTTTGAATTGTTTTTCTCACACTCCTGCGAGCTGTTCTGTCTGATATTTTTCTTGGTCTTCCAGATGTTGCTTTAACTTCCACTGTTCCTGATGACTGCCATTTCTTAATTACATTCTGAACAGAGGATATTGACATCTGAAAACGCTTTGCTATCTTCTTATAGCCTACTCCAGCTTTGTGAGCGTCAACTATTTTCAGTTTCAGTTTTCTAGACAACTGCTTAGAAGAACCCATGGTGCTGATTGTTGGGGCAAGGTCAGATGAGTCTGGGCATTTAAAACATTTGAGCTTGACATCACCTGGTCTTCCCAGACGATGATTGAGAACAATCCATGACACTGGCAGGTCTCAGCTTTGCAAAGGGGGCAGTGCATGCTATAAATTCTGCAGGGTGCCCAAACTTTTGCACAGACGCCATTTTTTTGTTTTCTGTTATTTTGAAAGTGTAAATGATGGAAATAAAATCTAACTTTTGTTGACATATTATAAGAATGTCTAATCTGTAATTTGATGCCTTTTGGAGATTTTTCCATCTTTCCTTGGCTTCTTTATGCACATTAATACAAATTTTTAGCTGGGGTGCCCAAACTTTCGATCCCCACTGTAAGTGCTCCGTTTTCAGCAAGCCAACATTTAGATTACCGTCAGTTTTACAATTTTGTTTTGTTATGACCTAAACAGATGTTATTGTCTTCTTTCTGTAGAGCGATCGCTTCATTAACAAGACGGTGATAAACTTGCAGTCAGGTGTTGGAGACGCTTAGCTGAAGCCATGACCACAGCATTTCGGAAAGACTTTGAAAAGTACAGGGACATGGATGATGATGAGCTGCTTGGGAATCTCTCTGAAGCTGATCTAAAACAACTTGAAAATGTCCTGGAAGAACTTGATCCAGAGGTAAGAGCAGATAGGAGTTGTTTTTAGATTTCTGATCAAGCTGCTTACCAGGGATTGTCTCATCTTACATTGGCTCACGATGATGTGCAAAGTGCAGTAGCCCATCAGGTTTTAGTTTTTGTAGTCAAGTTAGTTAAAAATGCATTCTGATTGGCTGCTAATGGTTTTGACACATGCTTCTTTTTAATACTGAAAAAGGCCACGAGTACTGGTATAGCAGAAGGGACATAATGGGTGTGCAGCCATTAGGTTTACACTAGCCAATGGTGGATTGCTTTTCAGAGTACAGCTAAGCAGCCACTCTCGGGTGTTTAGAAGGTGATCCTGCCACCCTGGTGAATGCCCCCTTTTTTTTTTTTTTTTTTTTTTCAATTTGAACTGCCATGCCACAGTTTGGGGCGTGGCAAAACCCCATAGTTAAGATGTGTTTTTACCACCCCACCGAATCCTTTTTTAGCTGCAGTGGCCGTGGGTGTACACATGTCGCAGCCACAGCAGAAGTTATATGCTCTGTCATGGTTGGTGGGTGTAGCACCTGCCAAGCATGACTAATTCAAGTGAATTTACCGGCCCTCTGCAAGTTCCCTGCAACCTTGTGCAGTACCGCAAACAAGGGATTAAATCAGGCAGCATTGTGTTGCTGTGTCACACCCCTTGGACCCAACAGAGGCATTCAGTTGCAGGGCTCTTGAAGAGTGGCCCCATTTACTGGAAATGTGATTGGCAGGCGGTAGCACCCACCTTAAGCAACAAGGGGTTTAATTCCTGCTGCGGCATGTGTACACCTTTGGTTGCTGTCTCAGCTACTAAAGGGGTAGGGATTGGGGGTGGTAAAACCATGACTGAACCGCAGGGTTGATCTGAGTGTGTTTGACAGGTGGTGAGGAAGGGATGTGTTGCCTTCTCACCACCTGATTTCAACCCATGATTGCTGTGCTACGTACGCGATTGCTAAACGGTACTAGGTCAGTTAGAGGTTTAAGTTTTGAGAAGTTGACACGGTGCCCGGTGATCTTTGACTTCTTACTCATAACAGTCCATAACAGCCGCCAGACTCTTTGAGCCATGCGAGCCTGACGTCTAATGAAATGACACAAAAAAAAAAAGGGAATCTTCCTCTCTTTTTTTTTTTTTTTTTTTTTTTTTCCATCCTTTTCTCTCCCCAATTATAATCTTCCTTACCCCTCTTCTTGTTCCCTATACCCGGTTTGCCCATTAACCCCCCTCTTCACTTACAGCTTTACCTACCATAGTACGTTTCTCCCTTTTAAAAAATGGAGAACAAAAGAAAGCAGGTAACAAAATTTAGAATGTCACAACAATCTATATGATTTGAGTAGGAGTTTTTAAGTATAAAAAACACACTTGTCTACTGCATAGGAAATACATTTGATTATAATTTTTGGGCACTGATTTATAATGTATGCCTGTAATACCAGCGCTACTTCATTACACTGAATGTAACAGTGAATTCTACCTTCTCTTTACCTAAATAAAGAATTTTTAACAAATGGCACTAATGCGCCGCAACCCATGCGTTTGGGTTGCAGCACCGGCCAATTGACTAGAATGGCCAAGTTTTATAGGCGCCACCACCTGTCAACTCGGCATGGCACATTAAATTTGCTATGACACAAAGCATCACTGCTGTGGCATGTTAACAGCCCACTCTGGCTGTATGTTACAATTTAGGTGGACGGCAGTAAGACCATGTCTTTACCACTCTTCCCCAGATATCCTTGTGAAAGAGGCCAAAATCTTGTGAAATTATATGTAAGCCTTATTGTTTTATTTAAGACAATAGAAAAAGTTGCTAAGTACCTTTCTTGCTGATATGATAGTGGGATAGCACTGAGATAGTATGAAGTATAGTGTTAAAATAGTCATGTTTATTTTAATTTTGTTTTTAAGACTTACTCATTTTGTAGGCAAATTAAAGCGTAAATACAAATGTTCCTTCCGGTTTTAATGTTTGAGTGGTAATGACCCAACCACTGTGTTAGGAAAGGGCTGTCAAGAAAGGAAGGCGTGGTACACAGATAAGAATTAAATCTATTTTTAAGCACTGAGTTACTAATCAAGGCAGATCATTAGCAAAACTAAAATGTTAGTGAAATTCTTAAAGTGGAACTGCACTACATCTAAGCACCACAAACCAAAAATGCTATTTAATTAATTGTTAATATTCAAAGCAAACTCCCCCATCCATCCATGTCTCCATGCTTTATTTTGCTGAGAAATTATTTTGAAAAATACCCCCTAGCATTTCTGGCTGTGGTCATCTTGAGTAAGGGCAAATGATTAATGTAGCATTTACTTCCTGGAATACATCTGCCCTTAGCTTAGGGGTTGGCTGAGCTGAGAATCCTCTTCCCCTCCTGAAGACTTGCCTAGGCAGGAAATCGGGAAGTAACTGAAGAAATGTAAAAAAAAAAAAAAAAAGGTTTAAAACTTAGTAAATCTGATATACTTTCCTATCTATTTATTAATGCTAGCAACATAGGGATTACAAATAGACCATGTTGATTGAGAGTGAAGTTCCACTTTAACAATAAAAAGTCAATTGTGTTACTGAGAAGAAGAGACATGAGAATCATTAGTGCTGCATGCAGATGCACGATTCTAAAGATTTTGTTTCCTATTATTGGCTGGGAATGTTTTTAAACGAATCATATTTTGATATATGATGTTTGTTATCGAATATTTTCCTTTTCTGTCTAAATGGAATATCAAATAATAAATCCAGGTATGGACTACCCAGCTTAGACCAAGGTAACTATGTATATACTGTACTATACACCATACTATAGAAACTGCTACTTCAGTGATCTCCACTCTCTTCCAGGTCCCAAATTCAGCAGTTGTAATTTTGTGTACTGAACACAGGAGGTCGGCCCCTCGAAAGGGGTGTCATGAATGCTTTGCATTTTCTGAATGCATGCAAAGTGTTCTCTGATTGGGCAAGGTGAAGAACATGATGCCACCTCCCAGCTCCACCTCTCTACATCGCCTAGTCAGGACACACTTTGCATTCATTTAGAAGGCATCTGTTTGGCATGGTACCTGAAAGCAAGTAGAGATCACTGGAGTAGCGGTGTCTATTACACTGATTTCCAGCTTCCAGGGGTATTCGCCAGGAATGGTACAGGTCTAAGCTGAACCAATGTAACTATGCATGAAGATCCATACTTGGAATTCTTCTGTAAGGGTAACTACTTTTAAAACACATTTGCTTCTAGCCTGTACCTAGGGACACCAAATAACTTTTTAGATAACATATTACCTTTGCCTGTTCCTTCCTGATGTGTTTAAAGGTGTCACCACAGGGCCATGCTACTGTAAACATTGCTTTCTTTGGTTAGTCAGTCTGCAGTTTGCACAGGAGAGTATGGAGAGCAGCATGGCTGGGAACAAGGCATCTACTCCAATAGTTAAAGTAGTTAAGCCCCTCACACACCTCAGTTCCACATAATTTCAGACAACCAATTGTGCACTGCAGAATCCAAATCTTCCCTTGTCCTCTTTTCTGGTTTGAAAATAAGTTGCTCTGTACACTGCTGTCCAGACTACAGACAAATGTAATGTAAGCAGAGAAACGTTTACACTGGACTTGGAACGGGTGTTTATTTTGCTTTTTAAATAGTTTTTTTTGGGGGGTAGACACTTGCACCACAGAATATATAAAATGTTGGCAACCTTTCAGTTGAAATTAGTACACCTATCCCTTGCCCTATTGTCTACATGTAGATGAGGCTCAAGAGTCATGAGACCCCTGGCCGTGGGCTACAAAAAGATGGGGCCTAGTGGCTAAGTTGTAAACTCCCTGTAAATTCACTTGCTTTCTGGAAGTTCATCTAACTAAACTTTTTTAGGTGTGCATTAACTAAACTTTTTTGGTGTGCCTCCACTGTAGTGAATTTTATGTTTGTGTTCGACAATGAAATGCAAGGAATTGTTTCCTTGAAGAGCAGCGTAGCTGGGACATGTCTAATTCTCTGGCTACTTCCATTTATCCTACTTCACTGGCTGACATCAACTGGTTCAAACCAAGTGCAGCAAAACATTTTAAATCAGCTCATTTTAAATCCTCAATATAAGGAAAATGTCCTACTTCTGCTTTACCAATGGGGAAACAAAACAGACGCATGTAACACTCTGCTCGGTTTCTGGTCCCCAGGTGAAACATTCCAGTAGGACACAGCACATTAACCCCCCTCCCCAGCAAGGGATGGAACCCCAACCTCCATTGAATCTGCACCCAGCTCAATGGTGACAATCACAAATCCTTTCAGGGAGCTGCTGCCAGAACCTCGCTAACACCTTCTTCCCAAGTTCCTCCACCACCTCCAAGCATCCCTGCACACTCACTTCTGTGGCCACTGTTCCCTCAAAGTTTTTAACGTCCTCAGACCCCGGACTGCTACCTGCAGGGTACACACTCAATGTCTGCATGGGCTTTTCCATGAGCTATATTAACTCAAGGATAAATATATCAAAGTAGGTTTGGCTGTTACAGTCAAGAGTCACCGAACAGTGCAAACACAGAGCTGACTTGCCACTGCCACAACAAAATATTTCCGGGCACACTAGCCAGCCTGCAAAACAACCGAATTGACCCTGTCTAACAATCATTAAATTGGGGTTTTGTTTGCACACTTTTTCAAATACATGAATACGCTGCAGTGCCCATGTCAAGGCTCTTTTGTATACTGCAGTCCGAACTTCTTAGTAGGAGCACATATAGAAATGGGCTGAATAATTGCAAGTGTGCCTAGAGGGTGCGAACCCCTCCTTAAAGGCACAGGGATGACCGTGACGCCCAGATAGAGCATGATCGCAGCTGAAGGCATCCAGTGTATCCCCACACCCAATTCAACCAACTGTACAAAAAGTGGCAACCATCCCAACCTATAACTAGCCATTGCATTAAGGTGCCCTTGGAAGGGCAACAGATGCCACAAACAAAAGTTTTCCCAGCACACTTGCGCATACATTTGCAA